TATACACACACACATACATACACACACACACACATATATATATATTTCTAAATGATATATTTAAGTAAACAGTATTTATAAGTAGTATATATGTTAATATAATTTTTTAATTGAAAAAAAAATATTATGGTTTTGTATTTGAGGTGTGCTGAAAGTTATATTATGGTTATTTTAGTCCCTTAAGAAATATTTTATTTAATAAATATTCGTTCAGACACTTTTGTCGTGTAATGCAACATGAGTGCTGGAGGAGGGCTGGAGAGATGTAGGTTAATCCGGAACAGTCCCGGTTGACGAGTGAAAGGCAGAAATGGTGCTATTCTACTCCTGTTTGTTATTTAGAGCATGAAACTGTGACGGAGATGGACTCAGGTTGGTCTTTGCTTATTCTTATGCACACAAAAAAAACCTGAGCTTTTTTCCACACCGTGTTTGCGATGTTGAGTTGTTTACATGCACGTCTGGCAGGATTTAGCATCTTTAGCAATGGCTACTGTGAAAGATACAGCATTGTAAAAAATTTATCGTGTTGTTATAGCACTTTATCGCTCAATATGACGCCTTAACAGTGAAAGAAAACAGTTTATTTCGTCTTGATACAGGATGGTGTCGTGTATCCGGAAGAAACCGCAGGCGGAAGTGAGATTCAGCACCGCTCTGCAACGGACAGCGACATTTATCAACTGTTCGATATCCCGCGTTTGGTTTCTCGTGGTCGATAATACACTAATACACTTGTCGTTTCCAGTCATTTCTGTTTTTGGTATTTATTCCTGTTAGGCAAAGAAGAGACTTAAAAACCTGAGTTGGGTAACCTGCCTGCCATAAATAATGAGCCATTTGAATGAAAAACAAAAACCCTTATCTATTATTAATGGGTGAAAAACGGGGATGTAGTAAATTTGGATTTTACACACACACACATATATATGCACAACTTTTTTTTTTAAACGACCGTCATACGCAACTTAATAAAATAAATGGCTGTATTGTGGTCAGTAGACGATGTGGTGGAGCAACTATAACGGTCAACTATAACGAGTCGTACCACGCAGTAGAAAAGTGCCACTAGATTCCTATAATCTCTGTGAATTTATTTATTTTTTTGATGTATTTATTTTTGCCTGTTTTTTGAGGAGGCACAAGAGACAGTACTGGCATGGTACCCTAATTTTAATTGAATTTAATTTTTAAATATGTATTGCCATTTTTATTAATTTAATTTTTAAGTTCAATTAATTTCATTATTTATATATATATACATATACAGTATGTCATGCATTATTTTATTTTTTGTTTTTTACATCAATTGAAAATGTAATAACATTTTACAATTTAATTTTTGTATTTAGTAATTACATGTTTAGTTTAACTTTTTTAAATTAATTGTAAAATATTTAATTACATTTTTATATATATATATATATATAGATGCAAAAGAACAATTGTCTATTCCAGTTGTACTGCATTGCATTGGCATTGTGTTTCAGGCAGCTATGAGCCTCCGCTCACCAACGTCTTCACCATGCAGTGGTTTCTGACCATGTTTGCCACTTGTTTGCCCCATCACACCGTGCTGAAGATCTGGGACTCGGTCTTCTTTGAGGGCTCTGAAATGCTGCTGCGTGTAGCTCTCGCCATCTGGGCCAAACTCGGAGAGTAAGTTCATCAATCATCTGTCCATGACAGAGAGTTGCAGGATAGGCCAGATTCCAAAGAAAAATGTGATCATAAATTAAATATGAGATAATTTTCAGCTTGTATCAAGCGTTCTGCATCTCTCTCTCTCTCAGGCGAATTGAGGAGTGCCAGACTGCCGATGAATTTTATAGTACTATGGGCTGCTTAACACAGGAAATGCTGGAGCACAACCTTATCGACTCCAATGAACTCATGCAGGTAAGACAGAGCATATAAAAGATCATGAATAATTCATGTCCTTAATTATATATAAACCTTATCATATAGATAAAACAACTGTAATGGCTTTAATGTTACAAAATAGTGTTTGAAAATGCTGGAAGTTTGCTTTTGGGGCTGAAAGTGTGTTTTCGTCCCGACAGACAGTCTACTCCATGGCCCCGTTCCCGTTCCCCCAGCTGGCTGAGCTCAGGGAGAAATACACCTACAACATCACCCCGTTCCCGACCCCTGTCAGAGCAAACAGCAGGTATGAGAGCTGAAGACACTCAACACCCACAGCACAGATGGCGTCCGTGAGAGTTTAGTAGTCATAAACAAGTGAACAGCAGGGTGCTGTTTTATGGCACATGTGTGTATATTGGCATGCAAATATCAAATTATGCAAATGTTCTGCCTTGTCTTCACAAGCTTTATGCTTTATACTTGACTTTATTTTTTTTAAAGAAGAGATGTAGGCAAGCAGCAATGCAATAATAAAACAATAAAAAAAATTATTTAATTTTTCTCTGTTGAAATGTTTATTTACATATTATTTAATTAATTAATTGTTGATGTAATTTTATATTATTATTTTTAAAATATTTAATTTTTGTGCAATATTTTAAAAATAAGTTTATTTTTCAATTTTAATTTCAGTTATTGTATTGTTTTATTGTAATTTACATTTTATTTTTGTTTTTCGGTTTTATTTTAAAATATTTCATTACTTTTTAGTATAATTTTAGTGTAATTAAATAATTTTAGTGCAATTAAATATTAATTACGTTCTTTAATTATTTTTGTGCTATATATAATTGTTTTATTTTATTTTATATTTTATTTCATGCATGGTTTTATTTGATCTTTTATGTACGCATCTCTTTTATTTTAAAATATTTAATACCATTTTTAAAAATATTATTTTTCACTTAGTAATTCACTTAATTTTTTATTATTTTATATAAAAATTTACTTCAAGTTTTATTACTTTATTTTTTGTTTCTATTTTTACAAATGTAAAATTATTTTATTATTAAATTATTTGACATAATTTAGTAATTTGCATAATTTAATTATTTAATTCAATTCAATTTCTTTCTTTATTTATTTTAATTTTTAAAAAGTATTACTTTTTATATTATAATGTATAATACTTTATTTTATGCATGATATTTTCCCATGTATAGTCTGGCACTCCATGGATGGGAGAGTGATGATGATGCTGACATGGATGATGAAGACTCTATTGTCACTGCTCTGGGTTGCCTGGGGCCTCTTGGAGGACTTCTGGCTCCTGAGATCCAAAGATACCAAAAGCACCTTAAAGGTCTGTGTCTAATTAACTTTCATAAGCCAAAAATCTACTTTCGATTTAATAGTGCAGCCTGTGAGGTTACAAATGTCACTCCTGCTCCATGATTTATCCTGCTGAACACAGGAAATTATCAAATGCACAAGATGTTTCATTTAATGATTAGCATTTTTTGAGTCCCTAAAGCTGTATTGGCATTGTCAGAGTAAGGGCGATCTCACTGAGGGATGCAAATATGAGCTCTGTGTAGCTCACTCTGCCAACCTAACCCTGGAAAATCCTTCCCAATCCTGTCTCAAATGGTTTTAATTCCCTCAGTGCATTTGTCAGTTATTGAGGTACGTCGAATTATTCCAGCAGTCCTTAATTACAGCCTTCAGTTCCAGTGCAACTAAACAAATGAAAGTTTTGGAAAAGAGCCAGCGCAGCATTACTCAAGTAAAATGTGTCACAGATATTCTTGCATTTTGATTTTGGATGTTTTCTTTGTGTTTTCATCTGTTCTACAGATCAGAGAGGGGAGCAGAGCTCTCATGGCAGTAACATGGCCGAGCTCAGTCCCGGGGCGGTGGGCGCGGGACGGGCCGAGCACCAGGCGGCCATCAACAGCATGATGCTGGAGCGCATGAGCACTGACATCAGCGCGCTGAAGAAACAGTACTCACGCATCAAACAAAAGCAACAGCAGCAGACCGGACTACTGTACATCCGTACAGGTATCAGGATCTTCATTTTGAGCGTTTTACAGTTGTAGATGAGTTCAGGAGGTGACAGAAGGGATAGTATGTAGTGTTGGTCAGTGTGTTGTGACATTTTTCCCAGGACCTCGAGTGGAAGCTGAAACTATTGAACCTCATCAAGCCAGTAAACTGCAGAAGCACCACACTGGTACTGGTTTTTATAGGTCAACTATGGTTTCATTATAGATATGTGTTGCAGAGCTGTTTTGATCGGTGTCGGTCTGCTGCTGTATAATGCAATAAATCACACAATCATTTGGCATTTTGGTGACGGTTGAATTGATTAATGAAGGTTTTCCAAATCATGGGTTTTGCTTGCAGGAAACTGGTACACGCTAAAGCTTGATAATTACTTTTTTTTTTTTATTCTTTCATTTCTTAAAATATTGGAGCATGTAATTTTGCAATCGCACCTCTACAGGACATAATGGAGAATTAACGTCAACATAAATTTGAGCAGTTCATAACTTGTTTACATTTTTGTAATGATTTATTATACATTCTATTTTATATAGAATTTATTATTTTTTTCAGGATTCTGGGATGAGTAGAAAGTTCAAGTCTTTACTGCCATTTTTTGGTTGAATGAAAAGATTCAAAGAATTTAATTAAAGGCATTAATTTCTTTTAAAATGAATTTATAATAGGTTGTATTTATTTTCAGGACACATTCTTATTTTGCACAACTCACAACTGCACATTATTTTAAAAATACAGAATTATATATACATTTGTAAAATTATTTATTTATATTATTTCTAGTAATTTATTATAGATTTGTACATATGTGTATGTATATTTTATATATATATATATTTATTTATTTATCATAATAGAAATAAACTATTTATTTGAAATGGATATTTAACATGATAAATGTCTTTATCACTTTTGATGAATTCAAAATAAATAAATAAAAATTACTGACCCCAAACTTTTAAACAGTAGTGTATATATAATTTCTCTATGTAACAATAATATTATTTATATAATTTCACTATGCCTTTTAACAAACTGTAATACATTTTTTGGCCTTTGAAACCACTTTTCTTTTTCACTGACATCACAAAGCCCAGTCCTACATTTTTAACCTTGAATATTCTATATATGAGATATTATGGAAGTAACATCGGTTGCAAACATTTTCATGATGACTTTGACAGTCTTGACCTTTGATATTGATTCTTCACAGATAAGTGTCCAGCCACCAGTATCCTTCCCTCTCAAATCGGTCCCTCCCCTGTGGTCAACCATCTTCTTCTGGGCAGGAGGCCCAGACCCGGTCAGCGATCGTCAAAGAACGGTGTCATCCATAACGATGGAAGTCCTCAAGCCCACTCCACACCCAGCCAGAATCAGATGATTCGGACCAGACATCATTCACCCTGGCGTACACATGTGCGTGCGCACCGAAGGAACATCGCCAGGGCGCGAGCTCAACTCGGATTTGATGATTCTTTGGAGATAGAAGACGATCAAACTGATGTGAGCAAAACAGAAGAAGCATCTGAAGAGGGAAGACGTGAGGATGAAGAGCAAGAGAGGGTGGAGACCATAAGCTCAGATGTCTCTCAGCAAGACCACATCTCTGGAGAAGCAGATGATCTCCAGGAGATCGACAAGCAGTTGTCTTCTCTGGAACTAGAACCAGAACTTTCACCAGAAGCAGCTTCTGATCCAGCTACACCAACTCCTCTCCCAGAAGCAACTTCTGATCCAACTACACCATCTCCACCACCAGAATCAGATTCTAATCCAAATACACCAACTCCACCACCAGAATCAGATTCTAATCCAAATACACCAACTCCACCACCAGAACCGCAGCCCGAGCCCAAACCCACGGCCTCAGCTCCGCTCCCATCCACCCGCCGTCCAGGTTCAGACTCCTCCAGCTCAGAAAGTGGAGACTCCCTCAAAAGAAACTCTTCGACGTTAGCAGGAGAACCTTCAAAACCACAGCAGATCTTCTCCCCGTTCCCTTGCATCAAAACCCCTCGCAAGTCCATCACTGCCAGAAACTTGGGCCTCTACGGTCCAAACGCCAGGACTCCAAATGTGCACTTTCCCCAGATGAGCAGAAGCATGAACCATGTTGGAAGCACCACAAAGCGCCGATGATGAATTGTCGACTACAGACAAGCACTTATTTGATACTTCATATCAATACATTTGGGTTCAAATCTCCAACCATGAAAGCATGTCTCTAGTATGCTTCCAGATACTCCAAAACATCTACATTTAGAAACCATATTGGATAATGTAATGCTTCCATGAAGTTTATAATATGAATTTATGAAGGCTGTTTACTTCTGTGATGAAACCCTACCTAAATATCTGGGAATAATACCTGATAGACACGATCGGTTGAAGCTTTTGTGTCAATGAAAGTATCTCTTTTTGCATGTTCAGATCAGCAGTATTTGCTACGATGCACTGTGTATGTTTACTTGCATGCTTCAAAGCTAGGAAAATCACAATCACAAATATGTAAAATACTCATGCTAAATGACTGGGAAATGCTGCAGTTCTGCATCACACAGTCCAAAAGGATTTTTTAGCACCCAGATACACTATTTAGTACTATAAATCAACAAATTTGCTTGTTTCTGTTGTTTTGACTGCATTGGTGTTCATTTTTCAATCATGTCATGCCATTTACTCTTGATATCTCCTTAGTAAATTATTCAATTGCCATCTGAATGACAGAAGTTGTCATTAAGTTCTTCTCTTTATGGATGCTCTTATTCTAAGCACTCCATCCCTTTGAATGTTTCTCTTCTCTCTATTAATCTTTGGTGTTTATGAGCAGTGGAGGATCACAAATGCCCCACAGAAAATAAAAGACGTGCAAGTATGGAAAAAAAACTTAAGTTTCTACTTATTTCCGTTGTTTCCACTCCAGTTAGTCATTTGTGTTTGCAACCACAGTATTAGTTTTTCAAGCATAAAATGACACCTATCAAAACATGTTATCCAACTACATAGGTGAACCAAATGGAAATGTATGCATGTTAAATGAACGTGGCATATTCTCTTGTTTTGAACCAAAATAACCTCAAATATCTCACACTGTCATGATTATGAAAGAGCCTAATAGAGATTGTGCTCGGGTTAAATTATAACGTAATATCAACATTCATTTATTCTGCCATCTTTACAAGTGCCTCATGAATAATTGAAATGTAAATTCATTCAGCCTGAAGAGGTTTTATATTGAGCTCTTTAAAAGCCTTCCTGAAACTACACCAACACTAGACAAGTTAAGAGCTTATCATCTGTTAAAAGTCCTGTTATTCCACTCACATCCAACATGTAACTCATCGATTTAGATTTTGAGAGAGTACAACAGGCACAATATTCGCTTTGTATTATGTTTTTTTGGACACGTTACTAGACCCTTCCATACTTACTATACTGTAAAGAATTGTTACCATCATATGACGTCTAAAATATCAAATCAAGGCTTCTGCTTGCTTTAGTCGTTCTGAAACTCACTGCAAAAAAGGGTGTTGAAGTTAATGGAGTCATGCATCCAGTGTTGCTTCAGTGTATTGTGAGACTTCAGAATGTACAGCGAGTGTCTGTTCTGTAATGTTCATGGCATGAAATTGCAAAAGGGCACTATGTTCATAGAAACTGTTACATGTTCACTTTAGTACAAGGTGTTTTGATGCTCCTTGGTTGAAGCAACCACTGTCTTGCGAGGGACTGCACAATTTCTAAAAAGTCTAAAAGCATGTAACAAATGCATCTTGCCAATGAGGTACCTAGCTTTGTTTTTCTTGAATATTTTTGTCTGATGTCTTTTAATCAGCCGGTGTTTGGTGAAGTCACCACAAGTCCACGGTAGAATGAAGTTAACTAGAAACACGTTCCGCTAACATTTCACCACCACAAGCGTTACCATAATGTTAAAGTTCTTTAGAATATTTTGCCATATTTTCTTTTAAAAATAAATCACCCCGGTTTGATACGGTTTTAATAGGTTAAGGCCAATTTACAATGACATTCATTTGTTTTAGTGTGGTTACAGGCCCAAAAGCTTTCAGTGGCTGCTGTCTGAAGTCATGAACCTATCAAGGAGGCCAAACTGACTTAAACTGCACCATTGCTGTAAAAGTCTGATAAATTCGATGAGTAACCACTCGATTGTTTAAATATCAGAGCTCAGACGGCCAGTGTTTCTTTGTCGCATGGGCGTTTCATTGTCTGATTGTTGGTGCTTGTTTCTGACTTAACCCCTAAGCAGAAAACTACAGTCATTAATATATTTAGTAGCATCGTCATGTGTGAGCATGCCAAATATTTCTGACTAAGCTTCTAATAGTTAGCTATTGTATAATATCGACTTTACTGTTTGCTGTTACCAACAGTTTATGAGGTTCATTATTAATGCCAGCTGTGCGGTAGGCCTCAGATGAGAAGAAACACATTTAAAACAATTTACATTTGGGGATTTTAAAGGTTAATTTTATGAACTGACGGAAATGGAGGGAAATTATTATTATTTTTTTACCCTTAAATTCCTTATTCTTTGTTTTATAGCTTTTGAAATGACTGAACACTAGATGTCGCTGTTGTTCTAGCCTAGTTTTACCTTTCAAATGGCCTTATACAGAAGCAGATTGTGGGAAGAAATGTCCTAGTAATAATATAAATATAACAAATAACTTTAAAAGAATATTTAAATAAACATTAGGCCTTTCAGTGAGTTTTTCCATGAAGCTCGTATGTGAAAAGATGACAGATGTGTAACTTTGACGATGCAGTGTTTCAAAAAGAAAGACATATGAATGAACAGGCCTTAAAATTCCTTCAGCTTCGGTTTATTGTATTTCATCTCCCTAAAAGACCCAAATAAACCCCAGTGTCATTTGTGCAGGATTTATGCATCACTGTGTCCTTGTGAGAAAATGTTGGATGCAGATTTCCCAAGGGATTCTGGAATGGTCTGAATATAGTGTACTGATCGAATGGGCAGACGTGCCTGTTGAGACTGGCAAGGTGCCAAGTTCTGCTTGTATTTACCTCACGTATGATTTCCTCAGGGGCCAGTTTGTCTCATAAGGCAAAGGACAAGCTTCACCTATGAATAATGCAATTGACCAAGTTTGTTTTTCTGGTCGTCATGGTGTTGCTTTAAAGCTTGCAGGGGTCAGAAATCGAATTGATTCAAATTATTTTTCAAATTTCTTAGTATTTCCCATGAAGCAAACATCTGACCATCAGTCATATGATCAATGCCATACATTTATTTAAGATTATAGCGAACTATTAGAAATACAGCAGAATCTTCCATTTCTTTTTTTTATTTGTTTTCAAAATTTTTCAAAATTCTAAAAAGTTTATATCTATGTAATTTTATTTAATACCAGATTTTTGATCCACAACTGAAGAATGATTTCCATCTAATGAGAACAAAAAAAAAAAAATAATTACAAAAAATAAAAATGTATTGTTTGTGATGATTCTAGCAATATGATCCACTGCTAAAAAATTATCATCATCTAATAAAAACAATCAAGAATAATAAAAAATAATATAAAGTAAAAATCATTGGTTTGTGATGATTATAGCTACGTGATACACAGCTGACAAATCATCATCTTCTAATAAAAACAATCCAAAGTAATAATAATTAAAAAATAATAAGTAAAAAAAATAGTTGTTTGTAATGATTCTAGCCATATTATCCACAGCAGAAAAATTATTGCAATCTAATAAAAAATTATAAAATAAAAATATATTGTTTGTGATGATTCTAACATGATCCACAGCTGAAAAATGATTGCAATATAATAAAAACTATTTAAACAAAATTATAAAATAAAAATAAATTGTTTGTGATGATTCTAACATGATCCACAGCTGCAATATAAATATTTTATAATATAATATTAATATATATATTTTTGCAATATAATGAAAACAATAAATAATCATTAAAATAAGCAATAAAATAATTACAAATTAAAAAACATGATATTGAGTGCCAATGTGTGCAAATAAAAAAAAAACATACATATATAGAAATAGATTTTTTTTAAAGATCTGCATTACATGGATGTGCTATGATGTTGCAATGTGACTTCTGCTTTCCCACCTATTTGAAATTCCTGTGGAAAACCCCAATGACCCAGTAATGACTTTATGGAGAAGCGGAGATACTTCCGTTTCATTAATTAACTGGCCGAGTGATGTGCCACAGTAATCCCTCAATCCGGCATCCGGCGGTTCAGACATGGATTATTTATCCGTCCCGTCATACAGGAGCGGGGACTACATGCGTGAATCCCACACTGATGTCCTCTTCCGCTCTGCTCCTGCACGACTGCACCATAATCTACATGTTATAATCCATGCACACATGATGGGGCTTACTCACACTTCCTCTGCGTTTCCGGCAGGATTACTCGATGAGGAAGTAGAGGTTTACACAATCTGTGTGTGTGTGTGTGTGTGCTGTACGGGTGAGAGTTTCATTATAAAGATGTGCAGGAGAGTTCAAAGAGCCAACAAAATGCATTGACAAGCAAGGTTTTTTTTTCTAACTGAAACTGGAGATTTGGGAAGGATCAGATGAAATGCCATGTCACTTTTATCAAAAGGCCTTAGACATGAACTGTTATTGATCTACTACAAAAAAAAGAAAGAAAAAGATTTTTAGAAGTTGTAAATTAAACTAAGATTGTTGGAGTATGTTTTAGAAGAAGATACTATTTTCTTTCTACTTCAAATTTCAATTTCTACTTCAAATGTTTAATTTCACGTTTAATTCAGTGTGTTACTTATGGAAGTTTGTTTCAGCCACGGAATAACAAAATAAAAAATTTATTTTTTTCCTGTAATTGTAAAAAAAAAAAAGTTAAAAAAAAGGTAAGTTCCTACAATTCTGAAAAAAGTCAGAATTTTGAATTTATGTCTTGCAATTTTTTTTATAATACATTTTTTTCATATTTATAATATTTTTATATATTTTTCATGTTTATAACAAACAATTCTGAGTTTCTATCACGCAGTTCTGAATATTCTTCTCAAAATTACGAATTTATGTCTTGCAATTCTGAGTTTATATCTTGCAATTCTGAAAAAAAGTCAAAATTAGTTTATATCTTTCAATTCTGACTTTTTTCTCATAATTAGTCTGAATTCTGAGTTTATATCTTGCAATTCTGAAAAAGTCTAAAAAGTTTATTTCACTTTTTCTCAGAACTGCAAGATATATTTTTATTTTTATCCCTTGCCAGAAACAAATGTCCATAGTTACCTACTATTTCTTTATAATTATTTGTGAAATTTACTATCAGTTTCTAAGTGAAAATTGTTTCAAAGTACATCCCTGTACTTGCTTTGCTAGTCAAAAGTAGGTGTTATTCAATGAGTATTTTCAGTCTATTTGGTTCAGAAAAAAAAAAATTTGAAATGCACATATTTTAATTTAACTTCTTTTTGTTAACTTTTATGAGTTCAAGGACATTTTTAGAGCTGACAGAAGACTTTTTCTGGTCTGCGTGTTGATCGGTCAGCGATGTTGGTCTGCCGTTCTTGCTTTCACTCACTCAATTTCTCATTCATTAACTTTCTCTGTATATAGCAGAAGTTACGTGTCATTCAGCGACACAAACACAATCATAACATGTCAATGTAAAGAGCAGACAAGTGCAGACAGGGCTGTTCTCTGGGGTAATAATAACTATAATCAAGCAGACGTGCCCACTCACTGACTCATCTACAGGAAAGGTCATACACACATTAAGAGCTTCACCCATGCATTCAGCAAATGGGAATTTAATAGTCTGATAAAAATCAATTATTAAAAGGTCAGGTGGTTTGTGACCTGCAAAGAGATTTTTCT